CTACCAGATCATACAGCGTGTAGGTCCGGTTGCTTATCGATTGGCTTTGCCGCCATCCCTTTCCAACCTACGCGATGTATTTCATGTGTCTCAGTTGAAGAAGTATATTCATGACCCGAGTCATGTGGTGGAGCTAGACGATGTGCAGGTAAAGGAGAACCTGACCTTTGAGAAGCTGCCAGTAGCTGTAGTTGATCAAAAGCTGAAAGAGTTGAGGGGCAAGTCCATTGCTCTGGTTAAGGTGTTGTGGGATGCAGCTACTAGTGAAGCTACTTGGGAAGTGGAGCAGCAGCGTAGGGAGCGGTATCCGTTTCTATTCCCAAGTAAGTTTGTTTTCGGGGATGAAAACTCCTGTTGTTGGGGAGGTTGTGAGGCCCCCTTTTCTTTTCTCATTTTTTTCCCGAACCCTCATCCACTCACTCTCTTTGACCCCATTCTTCCCTCTTTCTCTAAAATGGTTCTTTGTGGTGATTCTCTTGGGTTGAAGGTGCTGAGTCGGAGTCTCAGAGTTAGCTGAAGTGGTCTTTCTCCTCCTCTCGTCTCAAGCTTTCTTCCTTTTCTCCATTGTCTTATTCTTTCCCGGAAGCTCGAAAACTTTTACGAGGTAAGGGAAGCTAGTCTTTTGTTTTGTTTGGCTGAAACGAGTTCTATGAGCTCTTTTGTGGTATGATGTTTGTTACGTTTGAGTTGAAGATCTGCTGTGATGGATGATTAGTGGCTTTTCGGGTCTTAGGGGTCTTTGGGAAAATTTCAGGGAAAATCTTGTTTTGTGGTTGCATGTTAAAAAGGAGATGTTTTTCATGATGTTTGATGAAAATGCAGACTGTTGGATGGATTGCATGTTAGTTTTCTGGCTGTTTTGCAGGTGTTTAGGAAAAATTTTGAACTTGGGAAGAGTTGCTGTTGAATTCGTGCTGGGCGCCGTTCTTCGCGCCGGGCGCATGACCACCAGGAGCCTCTATTTAGGCAAGCCCGCTGGGCGCAAAGCTGTGCGCGCCAGGCGAGCTTGCAAATGGGAGGCTCTGGTTGGCCCGCGCCAGGCGTGACTTGGGCTACGCCGGGCGCGATATCAATGGTGACTTGTTTTGGGTACTGTGGTGCCGTGCTAGGCGCGCGTTTGGGCTCGCTGGGCGTGGAGGCTCTTTGGGAGTCTCTGCCAAGTGCACGCCGGGCGCAATACGAATTGCGCCGGGCGCGAGACCTTGGTAGGTCTCTGCCTTCCCCACGCTGGGCGTGGGTTAGGCCCCACTGAGCGCATGAGACACCTTGAGTCTCTGCCAGACAGGCGCTGGGCGCAATTTGGAGTTGCGCCAGGCGCAAGAGAGCCTTAGTGCTCTCGGGTTGAGTCTCGCCGGGCGCGAGTACTCCTGCGCTGGGCGCGCTGGTCCTGGTGCTCATTGGTTAAGCCGCGCTGGGCGCGACCTCGAGGGCACCGGGCGCGCAAGGAGATGATGACCTATATGATGATGGCTGTAGAATTGTGCCGAGATTGTTAATCAATGATGTTAAATGCTGAACCAAGTGGTATTTGATGAATATGCTGTAATGACTAGGGGATAAAGTTGAGATAAATATGTTAGCTGTATTAGAGGTGTATTGTTGAGCTGGAATCAATGGATAAATAAGTGAAATTTTATGGTATAGTGGAATTATAGACTGTTGGAATGAATGGTAGAAAATAATGATTGTTTTGAATTGCTGTGATGTGTTTCGCTGTGCTGTGCTGTGCTGTGTTGTGTTGTGCTGTGCTGGGCTGGGCTGTGCTGAGTGGTGTGATATTAGCCGCTAAGGCGGTGCTGTTGTTAGCCACATAGGTGGTGCTGATTCTAACCGCTAAGGCGGTGCTGTTGTTGCCGCTTTGCGGTGCCGTTATAGCCACTTGAGTGGTGCTGTTGTTGTTGCTTAGCAGTGCTGATATTGCCGCATTGCGGTGCTGATATTGTTGAGTGGTATAAGCTGTACAAGTGTGCTGATAACTGTATCTGTTGTTTATTTATATTGATATATATATATATATATATATATATATATTTGTATGTTGAATTTTAATTACACTAGCTTACCCTTTTGTTGTCTCCATGGTGTTGGACTGCAATTATCATACTATGTATGGGAGTAGAGCAGGGATAGGTGGGCGTCTGATGATGAGTCTTCAGCGGACCAGTAGAGTTGATCGCTTTTATGATTTTTGCTGTGTAGCTACTTGGGATAGTAGCATTTGATTGTAATTTCTTTTGTACACTCTAACTCTAGTTGGATTGGAATTCTGTATATATTTATATTCTAGACCCTATAATTATATACTCGTTCTATTCTGTCTAGTGTTTCCGGTGTGCGGTAGTTGGAAGTGTAGTGGCCAGCCGGGTCGATACACTTTAGTGGTATCAGAGCCGGTCGAGTCTAGTGGACACTCTTTGGGGGTGGTCCCTTTAGGCTTTCTGCTGTGTTAACTCTGTGCTGTGTTGTTTTGCTGTGCTGAAAATTGTTGTGATAATTTGTTGTGCTATTGATTGTTGTGTGGTTTAGTTATTGTTTACTAAAGATGCTGTTACTTTTGTAGACGATGAATAGGTCCAACGAGCAGATAGCCCGTGACATAGAGATGATGGCCATGGCTATGCAACAGCAAAATGCCTATTTTGCTAGGATGGAGGCTGAGAGAGCTGCAGCTGGTGCAGCAAGACCTATAGGGTCACAGGAGAGCCGGGATCTTGCTGAGTTCCGGAAGTGTAATCCTCCACAGTTTGCAAGAGATGCGGATCCAGAGGTAGCTGACCGCTGGATCCGTGAGCTAGAGAAGATCTTTACTGTACTGGGATGTCCTCCAGAGAGGAGATTAGCATATGTTGTGTACATGCTAGTTGGGGAGGCCAAACATTGGTGGAGGGGCACCTATCAGATGCTTACTGCCAGAGGAGTTACCGTTGACTGGGAATGCTTCAGGACGATGTTCATGGAGAAGTATTTCCCTGAGAGCGTGAGACACGCTAAGGAGGCTGAGTTTATGGGGTTACATCAGGGAGGGATGACGGTTTCTGAGTATGCGATAAAACTCGAGCACCTGGCTCGTTTTTATTCGCAAGGTATAGCTGAGGCTTGGAAATGCAGGAAATTTGCTGATGGGTTGAGATATGAGTTGAGGAGGGTGGTGGTGCCTATGGCCATCACTGAGTTCCCGGCCTTAGTGGAGAAGGCGAAGGTGGTGGAGCGGTTGGAAGGTGGTAACCGTGTTGTGAGGACTGCTGGGGGGCCATCTGGGTCCAAGAAGGGTGAGAGTCAGAGGAAGCCGTATGACAGGCCCCAGTCTCAGCAAGGGGGTTCTGTTGCTCGACAATCTTCCAGTGCTGCTAGTGGAGGTAGACAGAGTGGAGGTGCCACTCTGAGATGCTTCAGGTGTGCCGGGCCCCACTTTGTCAGACTGCCCGCACACGGAAAGCCGTTGCTTCAGATGTCATCAGATAGGCCACGAGTCAGCCAACTGTCCTGCTAGGGGCAGACCAGAGAGGAGTACTCCGAGGGGTGATGCGCAGAGAGCTGATACTCAGAGGAGTAGTGCACAGAGAGCTGATACGCAGAGGGGTGACAGACCGACTACTACTGGTAGAGTATTTGCCTTGATAGGTGCTGAGGCTTCGACTTCTTCTGATCTTGTGAAAGGGAAGGGCAAAGCTGCTGGTAAGGATGTGATGATTCTCTTTGACTCTGGTGCTTCCCATTTTTTTATATCATATGCATGTGCTGCTGTGTTGGGTGTACATGTGTGTGATTTGGGATTAAGACTGCTAGTGTCTATGCCCGCTTCTGCTTCTGTGATTGCTTCTGAATTGTGTGTGGGTTGCCCGGTTGTGGTGAATGAGAAGAAGTACAAGGTGAACCTGATTTGTTTACCTTTGGTGGATATTGACATAATCTTGGGAATGGATTGGTTGTCTGTCAATCGCATTCTGATAGATTGTGCCAATAGGCGGTTGATCTTTCCTTAGGAGGAGGATGAGCTGTTGATCTCGGCTGGCCAGGATGAGTCATTATTGAGAGATAGAGCTGTTCTGCTTGTTGCTATGAGTGTGGAGACCGAGAGGGTCTTAGCTGATATCGATGTGGTGAGGGAGTATGCCGAGGTGTTCCTTGATGAGGTGCCTGGAATGCCTCCTGTTAGGGAGATGAAGTTCAACAATGACTTGGTTCCAGGTGCGGGACCAATGTCAGTGGCTCCTTATAGGATGGCCCCTGTCCTTAGGAGGAGGATGAGCTGTTGATCTCGGCTGGCCAGGATGAGTCATTATTGAGAGATAGAGCTGTTCTGCTTGTTGCTATGAGTGTGGAGACCGAGAGGGTCTTAGCTGATATCGATGTGGTGAGGGAGTATGCCGAGGTGTTCCTTGATGAGGTGCCTGGAATGCCTCCTGTTAGGGAGATGAAGTTCAACAATGACTTGGTTCCAGGTGCGGGACCAATGTCAGTGGCTCCTTATAGGATGGCCCCTGCTGAGCTGGTTGAGCTGAAGGGTCAATTGGAGGAC